CGACTCTAATTATTACACACCCACACCCCTAATCTCCTAAAGATAAATAATAATTATAAAAAAATAAAGTGTCAATAATTTTTTTTTCAGAAAAAAAATTTGACTTGTATTATAATATTCAAAAAGAGACCAAAAAGCTAGTCTGTATATAACGTGATCCGTTTATGTGGCCATACTTTGGCTCTTCTTATAACGGGGGATTTGTCACTTGTCAGGGTTCAATCCTTAATCTTGTTTAAATTATTTACTTCATTTTCCATAAATACCCTTTTCTCTCTCCCCACTTATTTTATTTTATTTAAATAATCATCACTATTACTGTTTAATTAAATAATATTTTATAAAAAATTATAAATTCTTGGTTTAAAATTATATTATAATTAGTTTCTAATATTTGGAAAATATTAAGGGTATAAATGGTAATTACACACTGTGTTTGGCTTAATTTATTTTGCATGGCAATATTTATATTGGTAAATTTTATATTTATATATGTATGTATATGAGGCGAGGATATGTGTATATTTATATATATATATATATATATATAGTGCTGGTTAAGTTTATGCCAGCCCACTAGTCCGATTTTCTGGATGGAAGAGGAAGATCAAAAGGAGCTGCAGCTACTCCCAACTCCACCCTCCAAAACGGCGCCGTCGCCGCCACTGTCGTCTCAGAGACTATCAAGGTTCCCGCCGTCGGATTCCTGCATAAAAGTAAGTCGATCGAGCGGTCACGATGATCTCTACGAAGGTCCATCAGTAGACCTGCAACTCTCGATCAGCTTGCGCCCAATACAGGGGACGTCAAATTGCGTGTTGAACGTGAAGGGCGGCGGCGGGGGAGACGCCGGGTGCGTGGAAGCGTTGAAATGGCAGGCGGCGGAGCAAATCAGATTGGCGGCGATAGAGAAGGCGTATGCAGAGAGAGTGAGGGAGCTGACGAGGAGGGAAATGGAGTTGGCGCAATCGGAATTCGCGAGAGCCAGACAGTTGTGGGAGAGAGCGAGAGAAGAAGTGGAGAAAGCTGAGAGGATCAAGGAAAGAGCTACTCGTCAGATTGATTCTACGTGCATGGAAATCACTTGTCATTCTTGCAGGCAAAGGTTTAGGCCTTGACTTTATATATATATATATATATATATATATATATATATATGTATGTATGTATGTTTCTTGGTTGAAGTTGACGATGGATGGGTGGATGGATGGAGAGTTTATGATTAAGATTGGATTAATTAATTAAGATTGGGGAAGTTGAAGAAGAAATTAAAGTGTCTGGTTTAATTTTTGTTGTTGTTGTAAGATTTGGGGAATAGGATTCCTGGTTGATTCCTGGCAAAACAAAAGAGGGAAAACACTGGAATAAATTGAGTGGCATCAAAATTTGTATAATGCCCATTCAAGATTTTATCCTAATTTCCTTCAATTCTCTCAATAATATATATATATATATAACCAGATGAGTATTATTCATTTATTTATATATAATCTGCATACCCATATATCAATATTGATATATAATTTGTTTATGTGTGTGTGTGTATATATGGGGTATAGATTCTGAATCTGTTAATGAGTTTCCCTATATATTGATTAATTAATGGGGAAAGCCGTACCAATCTTTATCAGTGATGGCGGTGCAAAGTGCAGACTTATGGTACAGATTAATGATGGATTCAACACTCCACCGGAATAACGACGTGTCAATACATATATATAATCTATCTATATTGTATATATATATATATATATATATACACACACACCACATGAATTAGAAAACCCACTTATTATCTAACCTTAATATGTTGGTGGCAGCCCTTTCAATCTTCATCACATTAACTCTTGATTATTACAGTACTAACTAATCTAAACAATACATATGCCTACACACCTGCCTATACACCTATACCTAGCTTATATATAATAATCCCATTTATGTACTTTAACATTGATTCAATCAAGTGATTCCAAGCTGATCGGCAGTGCTGCTAGCTTCCTAATATATATATATATATATATATATACAGTCAACGGTACGTGCAGAGTATGAAACATGTATGTATACGTATTTGCAGATATATACACGTATATTGATATAACATATATATTTGCAAGATCTGCATGAGGATTAGTGGGTTAGGAGTTTGTACGTCAAGGTCATTGTTAGCTGTTTAGATGCAGAGATTGTAGCTACAATCAATCAATTCAACAATTATTAATTTGTGTTACCAACTTTGCATGAATGTCAAGCATTGATTCAGATATTTTTATGAACTTACATTTAATATAAACACCACATGACAATTAATTAATTAATTAGTACTAATTAATTTCTGTTTTAATTATAAATTAATTATGCAACATTCATACTTCATCCACCGACATCTTGTCTGATTGTATTTTACTTCGTTTCTAATTTCTGGTTTGACAAAAATTTACACCAACGTTCCATCTCCTTCTATATGGCAATGGTCTATACATGTTTGGTGAGTAATTACTCAACTATAACTGAAAATATATACACATATATATACATGTTAAAAATAATGATTTATAAATTAAAAAAAATATATTTTATCTTAATTAAAATTAATAATTTACAAATTAAAAGAATATTTTTTTATTTTATAATGAATTAACGTTATAGGTATATATTTTTTTTGTTTTTCTTATGGTTCATGAATTAAATTTTAATATATGTTTTTTGAGTTTTCGTTGGTAGATATAATTCACGAATTAGAGTTAATTATGATTTATAAATTTGAAATTTTAAAAATTATATTAATACTTATATATATTCATGTTTCTAAAGATTTTTTTTTTCAACAATTACAAAGGAAAGCTTCAGTCTTTTTATTAGTTTTTTCTTTTTCTTCTTTCTATTTCAATGAAATATAATCTAATATTAGTTTATCTGTTAATTTTTTTTAACAATATATATATATATATATGTATGTATGTATGTATGTACATAGTTTGTAAAAGAGAAAAACTCCGGGAAACGTGTGACGAACATGACGAACAAGTGTCATTGAACAAGAGGAAGACACCCAGATGATTTGAAGAGGTGGGTACTGATAAATGGAAGTTTATGAGTGACTATATAGTGATAAGGTACTGGATATCTATATATATATATTTATACATATATATGTGGGTGTATGTGGAGTCGTCAAACCTGGCTTGAGCAGAGTGTGAGTTAAGAAGGGTGTGTTTGATATTGATAGAAAGGCAAATGAATCAGAACAAAAAGCAAAGTGATGATCAACAACAAGACAGCATAGTTGCATCCACTTGTATTCAACTTGTTAACTTTTGCTGATCACAAACCCAAACACCCACTACCCATGTCTGGGATGCCAAAAGAAACACACCCATATAGATATACATATATATATATATATATATATATATATATATACATGTACATGGATGTTGCTTTTGGATACCCAATAAGTCTCCTAAAAAGGCACATATATGTTAGGCTAAGATATCATTATATATAACACTATTCAAGGTGTCTGTCGCTTCAATGGCGTTGTTACGTACTTACCTTTATATTTGTCAGAAACCCTTTAAACATATTACTCAAATAACACATATATACACAAGCATATACATTTAATCTTTCAAACATGACATGTCTTCAATCATACACTGACTTTAATTTGATTCTCTCTTGAGGTCAAGACATAATCTAGTGGGGCAACCCATCTTCAAACTTTCAAACTTAGGTCCGATCCATGACAACTACGTTTCCAGGACACCGTCTATGCACACACACACACACACACACACATATATGTATAATATAACTCAAAGCATTGGAAATTAAGTACTAAATTTTGTTATTGTAAAAGGCATGTAATTAGTTTCTTTATTTGGGTTCTCAGGATCTTCTTCAACACCTATCTAATTAAGGATCCAGATAGAGGGAAACTTCCTTTTTCATATTCTTAACACCTTCCTCTCATCTTCTTTTACCACCCAATTTGTATTCTTCCCCATACAACTTCTATTAATTAAATGGTTTTTCATTTTTTATTTTCAACCCATCTTTAGTTAATGTGTAGATATATATATATATATATATATTTATATCTACACATTTTTCGTTTAAATAATTAAAAATATCTTGAACTAGTATAGATCGAGACTACATTTTTCTCGAACAATTTGTTAAATAATATTTATTTTTTATTAGAATTTTACTTAATTTACATTATGCATTATCTAAGAAGTATAAGTAGTAAATTTCATCTATGTAAATTTTATTTAGCATTTAAGAAAATAATAAACAATGAATCTTTAAGAATTGAAATTATAATTTAAGATAACAATAAGTAAAAAATATATATATATATATATATATATACCTTTTTAATGTAATTTAATTATTTAAAGCCTTATCGGTGGGTTAAAAAATTTATATCAGAAAATCATATCAATATATATCAACTCACTCATTGTAGGTATTAATTACTGTAGTTCTAGCTTGAATCATAGGTCATCAAAGTTTAATCTATACATATATATATATACATGTATATTGATCCGAGCTCAAAAAATATGTCTGACATCTTTTGGGATAACAAATATTGGAATTAAATTTATTGTAAAAGTAATACACTGTATAAGAAAACATGTTTAGTACGGATGGATTTGTCGACTGAATTGTTCATTGATAATTTACTTTTTCCTGCAGGTGGTATGTATATATATGGGTATATGACAGTATATCATGAACGATCGTGTTTATATTTGTCATTAAATAATATATAGAGTTGTAATTACCCACATGAAAAATTAATATCATATTAAAAGACAAGGGTGTGATATGAACTTTTCTTGGATTGTAGAGAAAATTGAAATTGGAAAGCTCTAAGAAAGAGCTAATTATATGTTTGTATATGTATATATATATATATAGATACAAGAGGGTATCCAGAAGTGAATGTACTTGTGGGTTCAGAAAACCAAAAGGGTAGTTCTACATGTGATTGCTTACTGCTTTGGAGATAGTAAAAAGTCTGATGACAGTGGGAAAATTCATGAAGAAGGTCCTTAATTAATTAAGTATAAATTAATACAATCTCATATATATATATATATATATAATTAAAATAGGACTGGGTATACGTACACCCGACATATGACCACTTGCATTATAGGTACGTTTGTCATGTATCGTTTATTTGGATATATATATAATTATCAGAGAAATGGAAGAAGCCATCAATCTATCTTCTTCATAAAAGTTGAAGTGAAAGGTTGAAGATGTAGGACATACACACAATTGCCGATCTATCAAACAAGTCATCATGACAAAACCTTAACATTTGTCTTTTCACATTTGTCCATACCTTACCCTCCTCTGATGCTACTGTACAAAATCTATAATTTGAATATGATATTTATGTGTATCTATACATTTAATCACAAACGTATATACACGTTGTAATTGACTAGGGTTAGTTTCAAGTTTTAACGGGGATTTTTATTTGAATTACATATCAAGTAATTTTAATCAGACTCCATTGAATATTTTATTTAAAGAGTTTTATTTCTTATATTATTAATGTATAAATATTTATGAATTTTATGTTTTTAATAAAAATATAGATAGTGTAAGTTCTTATACATGATTTGTCTGTTCCAATATAAAAAAAAATAAGCTATCGAGTGCGTTAGTAACAAAAAGAATTAACTTCACATGATCTGTCAAAATTTTTATAGTAACCTTATAAACTATATTACATAAGTCAAAAAGATATAGATACAAAAATGTGTAACTGATTAAAGGAGTTCATAACGAAAATTTTTCAAATAAGGATAATAAGTATTTTATTTAGAACTGTCGACGTCTCTTTTACGTCTTAAAAAAGTTTATTATTAATGACAACTAATTAACTTTAAAACTTTTTTTACTTTGAAAAATAAAAAAGAAATCTAGATAATTTTTAAATAAAATGTCAGAAGAATTATCACAATTTCATATATTCAAGAGTAATTCATAATAATTTTAAGATTATCTTTATCTTAAACATGTAAAATTAAATATTATTCTATTATCATTGATCTAGACGAGCAATTTATTAGGAGAGAAGTTCTTGTTTTAATACCTAATTAATTCATGATCATTAAAAGAAGATATAAAGTTTGTATTTATTTTCTTCTTACAAAAAAAGAATAATAAAAAATTCATATTAACATACTTTTAGTGGGCAAACAATTATTTTAAACTTATGGCTTCTTAATTAAATATTGTTTAGATTCAAGATCCACGTTTTCTTTTTTTGTCAGTTCCATATAAATAAGACTATCCTTTTAAAAAATAAAGTCTCAAACAATATAAGCCTAGGCTTATATATTAAAAACCAATTGGAATTTATACAACTCAAGCGTATTTGTCATTCTCTAATTAAACCTAATTAATTAATAAACTTGTCTTATTATGTTAGTTAGTTAGTTAATTAATTAATTAATTAGATTAACAGAATGATAGAATCTTGATGTATACATACCCATTTCAATAAGAGTCTTTAAACAAGTCATGGTTTTTTTAGCTTTATGAGGAATTTCTATAATTATTTTTTGTTAATACTTAATAAAGACTATTAGCCTTTGGGATTATAAATTAAAAGGAGAGACAAGTATATTATTGAAACGTTTGTCATATGCCTTTTCTTTTTCTTTTTTTTTTTCTTTAGAAAACCAAAAAAGTTCAATTCCAATCTAATGCAGACATTAAAAAAGGAAATTGTGTTTTAAAGTTAGGGAAGCTTTAATCGTGGTGGGACTCCAGCTCGTGCTCGTAAGTTAGGAACTGAAAAAGTATTTTTAAGGATATAATAAAATAATCATGGTTGGAGATGTATCATTCTACTGAATCACACTAACTCATGTGCCTATACATATAATATCATTTATGAAAAAATTTTGAGGGGACAGTGTTTGAGAAACCCATTCACTTGATTGATTCAATCAAGCATATTGTTTATTAAATATTACATACACTTCATAAAATTTCTAAAATATGGCTCCTAATCTTCCGACCTAATCACCAGTGTTTTCATAAGGATGAGCTTCCAACAGTGTATGCTAAAAAGAAATATTCCTAGAAAAACACGCTAACATTATCGCTGTTCACCGAGACAAATTCACACAAGCAGCTGTTACCTTAAACCAGAAACCAATTCTGCTCTTTCTAAAAAAACAAAACAAAAAACATGTCATTTGTTTCCATTTTTTCAGGTCAGCCCTACCGGGGATTCGTGATATTTGGTTTGGAACCAACCACAAGAAGACCCACAAAGGGTGCCAAGCCAATGCGCCAAACAGGTGAGGGCATGTTATGTATTGCCTTAAGTTAGCACACATGCATGAACTATATTACTCTCAAGCGGGATTGATCCTATCCCCCTTTTCAGGTTAGCCCTACCAGGCATCCGTAATATTTGGCTTGAACCGAGCACAAGAAGGCCCACAAAGGATGCCATGCCAATGCGCCAAACAGGTGAGGGCATGTTATGTATTTCCTTGGTTAGCACACATACATGAACTATATTACTCTAAAGCAGATTGATCCTAGGGCCGGGATCACTTCCAACAGCAATATATAATTATTCTGAGCTTATTCCATCTACTAATACTGTGAAATGCAATACTATAATTACTTAAACTTATTATTGATAAAAAAAAAAAATATATATGTAATTTACACAGGAGATGCAGAAAGTAAAAAATCTGGTTGTGATCTTTGGAGGAGTATCCCACAAAAAGGACAGAGTGGTTTTGTAGTTTCTTTTAAAACAGAAATATCTGTCAAAGATTTGAAATCCGAAGGATACCTGGACATCATGAAAAGGATTTCTGGCGCAAGCTTGGAAGTCCATCTGTGACAACACTTGCAAAACCACAAGGGAGCAGTAGGGCAAACCTGCATAGAGACAGCACATCTTTCTAATTTGTGCTTCTGATCACCTCCATTTTTGCTGCCCAAACCATTGCAAACCGCAACTTCTGCTGAAACAAAAGGAACTGATGCTGAACAATAGCAACATTTCTCTTCTGCTGTATACTCATCCAACTCCTGCCTATTCAAGGAAACATACAAGATTACAAAAGAAGTCAGATCATGTAAGAGAGAAACAGAAGTCCTGCCATTCATCAAAAACCATCTGTTGGCACCCCATAGTAGTTTATTGGGTTAACCGTCTTGATAACAGGTGGAAAGAAAAAAAATTAAGGAAATAACAAAATCATAAAAATAAGAAAAAGCAAGAAAAATCATATCACAATTTCTCTCAGTATTCACAGGCTCCTTCAGGCCCCGTAAGATAGATAACAAAGGTTAAATGATTCTGATAAGAATTGTGTAGAAAATGTTACTTATTACAAATATATATGTGTGCGTATATATATATATATATATATATATTGTATTTATGGAGAGAGAACCAAACAATTCTAGCATGATATTTGCATTTTTCCTATAGAATCAAAATCATTAGGAGAAATTATTACAAATAGGGAGGACAGGATATCATCCTGAAGAAGCCAAAAGGACAAATAAAAAAATAAAATCCAATAGTAGAAAGGGCATCCCAAATCCTTCTGCAATGTAGGATAAATTTCCGAAAATACTGCAAATCTCAACCCAAAATGAGGCAAAGAGAACCAAGGTATCCAAAAAAAAATCTTAATAGGTTGAAAAGGACCTTTGAAACTTATTAGCATTCGTCTCCAGCCCCTCTCTATGGCATCTTTTTGTTCCTTGTTACTTCCAAACCTCTAGTTATTTGTTGAAATAAAAATATCAAGGGCCAGGGACAAGCTGTAACCAGCAAGGTTTGGCAGACTCTAATGATACAACCACACTAAAATACAAATTATTGAGAAAACTCATTAACGACAAAACTCAAACCTATTACACAAAAATAAGGCACGCGTTCAAGTTCAAAAAAATAATATGAAATAATCTTTTAATCTGATGTAAACAATATTCAAAATTAGTACAAATTTGATCCATTTACTGGTGCAAATTCATATTCGCCACATCTAGGACAAATCTACAAACACAAAAAGTATCAAAACTTTGGTTTAATGTGAAGAAACAACTAACTATTATGTAGCACATCATACAAATATTCCGAGGTAGAGCCCAATATGTACCACATGCCTGAAACAATCATCAGTTTAAGACTCTAACCTCAGGGGGAGCTTTCATCTTCCAAAAAAGAACTAGAGAAAGGCATATTAAAACTAGAGAGATGACGGCTAAGTAAATAAAAAATAAATACAAGCATAGACACTGGATGAATCAAGGGCCATACTTTTTAATCTAGTCTAAAAACTATATGAAAGGAATCAGGGAACTGAAGGAAAGAGATCAAATTAAGATTTCCCAGCCATTACTACTTCAGAAGGAAAACATATTCCAAGAAACCAAATCAATGTATTAGTACTACACAAAATAGATGACTAAATGGTACCTCTTCTGCTGCGTTTTTAGTTCCGACGCAAGTGCTTTTA